CATGGAGGAAAGGCATGGAAAAGGGTCATTCACGCACACATGCACATGCATGCGCACACACACACACACACACACAACATCCATAACATTAAAAAAACACCTAGGCCCATCAAAGAAAGACAGAAACAGAGACGTGACCTTCTATCTTATTATATATAGACAAATACAGAATGACAGAAACAGAGGCAAGACATTCTATCTAATTATATACAGACACATAGAGAATGATAGAAACAGAGACATTCTCTCTTATATATATATATATATCACTTATATATAGATAACCTATAGAAGGTATATATATGTATATATAGGTTATATATAAAATATATATATAGTATATATATATATATTATATATATATATATATTATATATATATATTATAGATAGCTATATATATATATATATCGTATATATATGTATACACACACACATAGAGATTTTGAAAGCAACAGAGGCAGGGTGTGGTTGATGATAACTACACTTGAAGAATTTGACTGTCTAGAGATCAGCAGCGATACGATAACACTTTTGGGTGGATGAGACACAGTTTGGTACCAGGATGCCTTTAACAGCACGGCTTTTAACATGATACCAGCTTACACCACCATGTTTACCACATTGCCGGACGTTCACAGGATGACCACAGAAGTTGATGTACACGAGACTTGCCCAGATGTTCACATGATAACTAGAGAAGTTGTTGCACATGAGACTTGCCGGATATTCACATGATGAACACAGAAGCTAATGTACACGAAACATGCCCCAGTGTTCACATGATAACTACAGAAGCTGATGTACACAAAACTTGCCCAGGTGTTCACATGATAACTACAGAAGTTGATGTACACAAAACTTGCCTGATTGTTCACATGATAACTACAGAAGCTGATGTACACAAGACTTTTCCGGGTGTTCACATGATAACTACAGAAGCTGATGTACACAAGACTTTTCCAGGTGTTCACATGATAACTACAGAAGCTGATGTACACAAGACTTGCCCAGGTGTTCACATGATAACTACCGAAGTTGACAGACATGAAGTGGGCCTGGGTGTACACATGATGACCACGAGTGAAATATCTATTTATCCACATGGATTATCATCACTCATTAATGAATTATGTATATTTCTGCATGGATTATCATTTCCCAATAAAATATACATGGCACATAGTGACAACATCATTGATATTCAGTTGGTTTTCTCAAAATGTCTGTGTGTGCGCACGCGCGTGCACATAAATGCCTGTGTATGTGTGTTTTCTTCAGTTCCTAAAGAAATACCTCAGCCTAGCAACTTTAGCATCTTACTTCTTCTTTAAATATACCAATGTGTTAATACATCTCTCTCTATATATACACACACACATGAAGGAAAGGCATGGAAAAGGGTCATTCACGCACACATGCACATGCATGCGCACGCACACACACAAACAACATCCATAACATTAAAAAAACACCTAGGCCCACCAAAGAATGACAAAAATAGACAGGAGGTCTGGTTTATAACAAACACATAAAGAAAGACAGAAACAGAGACGTGACCTTCTATCTTATTTTATATAGACAAATACAGAATGACAGAAACAGAGGACATTCTCTCTTATATATATATATTATATACAGATACATATATATATATATATATATATATAACAGAGACATATATCTATATATATATATACACACACATAGAGAATGAAAGCAACAGAGGCAGGAGCTGTGGTTGATGTCAGACACTTGGAGAATTTGTCGAGGGAGGCAAAGGCCTCTACAGAACAAACTTTTGCAGGATGATGATTAATCCTTAGATGTATAATTGTGATTTGTCCAAACTGTTTATGCTTGGAGTCAAACCCATGCCATCCATCTGGTAGTCTGGAATGTTAACACAACACCACAGCACAACATCACATCCGGGACATTGAGAAGATCTGTCCTTACAGCCAACAGCAGCATTTCTCAGGGCAGGGAACGAGTGAGGGACACAATGACAAACTTCAACTATCTTTCAATTCTCATCAATGTTTGATTTTATTAGAACAGGTCAAAACATGACTGAGCATTTAAACAGACTATGTTAAAAATGTGCAATTCAAGGCACTAAGATGTCTCTAGCACACTGGCATAGTGCTTGTGGGCTTGTCTGTCAGTTAGTGGTTGAGTTCAATCTCTGCCACTGGCATAGTGCTCGTGGGCTTGCCTGTCAGTTAGTGGTTGAGTTCAATCTCTGCCACAGTGCTAGTGGGCTTGCCTGACAGACAGTGGTTTGGGTTCAACCTCTGCTACTGGCAGGGTTTTTCTGACCAACATGGATCAGAGATGTTAAAAAACTTATAAAAGAGGTCACAGGCAGTTCCCAGGGACAGTCTAGAATATGTCAAGGTCTAAGACTCTGTCCCCTGATGTTATCCTTGTATACTAGAACTCTGCTTGAAGGCCAACTGAAAGTTTGTGTAGAGGCTCTCAGTGCAGTGCCGCACTGACACGTTACAGATTCCACCGGATAATTCAAAGAAAATACAGGGACAATTCTGTTTACTGACATGCAATCCTGTGTTTACTGACTTATGTTGAAAAAAAAAAAATTGTAAAGTGATTTATGTTTCTGTATGTGCCTAACTAAGCATGCTTTGCAGTCAGTGAACTAGGTCCTGGACACGCAAGAGGTCTCAGACACACAAGAGGTCTTGGACACACAAGAGGTCTTGGACACACAAGAGGTCTCGGACACACAAGAGGTACCAGACACACAAGAGGTCCCAGACACACAAGAGGTACCAGACACGCAAGAGCTACCAGACACGCAAGAGGTCTCAGACACACAAGAGGTCCCATACACACAAGAGGTCCCATACACACAAGAGGTCCCGGACACACAAGAGGTCCCGGACACACAAGAGGTCCCGGACACACAAGAGGTCCCATACACACAAGAGGTCCCATACACACAAGAGGTCCCAGACACACAAGAGGTCCCAGACACACAAGAGGTCCCAGACACACAAGAGGTCCCAGACACACAAGAGGTCCCAGACACACAAGAGGTCCCAGACACACAAGAGGTACCAGACACACAAGAGGTCCCAGACACACAAGAGGTACCAGACACAGGATGCCAGATTTTTCTCCAGGAAAATCAAAAACTGAATAGTTAGAAAAAGGCCAGTCAGAGAAACAAAAGCTTATAATTTTACAACAGGTAGCCAGTCAGAGAAAGAAGAACAAGGAACCATTCTAAACTCATTCCTTGTATCTAGCCAAACGTGTTTTCTGAACACTCCTAAAAATATACAATTGGTATGTTGTTTTGTTTGATATAAAAAACATACAAATATATATATATAGAGAGAGACACACACACACACTTACGCACCTAGAGACATACATTCTAAAGCAATAAATAGCCAACCACATTAACACCTATTTAAACACTGTTTCTACAGATAATTATCTGACCCCTTACAAAGATTTGTATCTCATCCGCCAATTATCTTTAGATAATCATGCCACTGTTGACCCTACAGTACAGCTACCCTCCTATCTCTAGACAATCATGCCACTGTCGACCCTACGGTACGGCTACCCTCATCCTGGTCCCCTGGCTAAGCTCCAAATCTGACTGGTCTTCTCCTTCTCATTCTGTCACAAAACGTATATCAGGAGGCAGGTAGCCTTTATCAGTGGCAGCTTTCCCCAACAGTCTGTTTTGTCTGAGCTGTCAATCGTCTCACATCACAAAGTTTAGAAATGTACCCAGGATGCTCTCTGTTCCCTCACTTACAGTAGAACAGGCTGAAAGCTAAAAATACCACAGGCCAGTTGGGATGTCTCCAACAGGGACATTTATCTTGTCAATGCTTAGCACAGGCCAGTTGGGATGTCTCCAACAGAGACATTTATCTTGTCAATGAATAAATCAGGCCAGTTGGGATTTCTCTTGGAGGGACATTTATCTTGTCAATGAATACCACAAGCCAGCTGGGATGTCTCCTAGAGGGACATTTATCTTGTCAATGAATACCACAGGCCAGTTGGGATGTCGCATAGAGGGACATTTTGTAAATGAATACCACAGGCCAGATGGGATGTCTCCTAGAGGGATATTTTTCTTGTCAATGAATACCACAGGCCAGTTGGGATGTCTCCTAGAGGGATATTTTTCTTGTCAATGAATATCACAGGCCAGTTGGGATGTCTCCTAGAGGGATATTTTTCTTGTCAATGAATACCACAGGCCAGTTGGGATGTCTCCTAGAGGGATATTTTTCTTGTCAATGAAACAAAACTGAATTGCTTTCTGTCCCTAATCAATAGTTCAATTCTCTGTGTCCAGCAACTGTTGAGCCGGACTGTGAATGACAGTGTTTCCCCCAAGAAAATGTGTCCTAAATTGTTTTATTAGAATTAACACAGTGTGGTTTTTTGGCGCAACTGACCTTAAGGAGGATACTTCGGACATTTACAAATTTACGAAATGGTTCAGTGTTCAGCAACAGACAATGACTACCCCAAAAAAAAAAAAAAAATACATCATTTGATAAAAATGATCACATTTACAGAGAACTTGATCATATCTACAATACAATATCATTATTTATCAAGACAGCAACACTTCTAGAAGGTTCTGCCTGTAACTGGTGGCTTCCCTAGGCAGCAGGTTACAGCTTGCATATAAAACCTCTTGTACTTGGCTGCATGACTGCTAAACGTTTCACCGGGCTTGAGACAGTTCCATGGGTTTGGTAACTGATCATCTGTCCTAAGATCATAGTTTTCACAACAAGACCGTGCGGCCTATAATACTGTTGCCGCCACATTCTGGCAGAGAGGTCATGAGAGCCAAGGAAACAAGTCCCAGTGGTCAACAGGAAGAGCAGTTTTCAAATGTCCCCTCTAATAAAATTCCTTGGCGCTGACAGGGACTTGAATTCCCTCCATGTGTGTGCCAGCGAAGGAGTGCAATGCTGCTATACAATAACATTTTCAAGACTGGTCCATTCTGTCATCATCCGCACTCTCCTGGGAGCTATCAGAACTGTCTGTCTCGAATTCATTGAGTTCATCGATCAACTGCACTGGAGATTTGAAAAACAGAAAAAAAGTTAATTCATTGCCATGAAATCTGACTTCATTACTGACTGAGTGGATACTCTTCTATCCTGGGGTGTAATGGTTTTCCAGAGAGATCGCCAGGTTTCTCAATGTGCAGTTTTCTTTTGGGCTTTGTTTTATTCCAGTCCTCTGTCAGTCAGGGACTGTTGTCTTCCCAGCAAACCCTGGGCCATCCTAATGATCTGGTTCTCTGGTACTTGGCCTCCCATGCTTGGGCCATGAAATCAGGGGTTATAATAAAACACAGAGATCCTTTAATGGAGCGATTCGACAAAACTGAAAACGTATTATGTCATTATGTTTGGTGACTAGCTCTCCTCCTCATCACCTTTCCAAACCCAGAAAAATGGCTGGATTAAAAATGCACAGCTGTAGACAGTTTGTAAACAAATCAATCATCTAGGAGTGGAACTGAGACACAGAGTAGGAGTGGAACTCAGACATCTAGGAGTGGAACTGGCATAAAGGAGTGGAACTGAGAAATCTAAGAGTGGAAATGAGACATTTAGGAGTGGAATTGAGACATCTGGAAGTTGAACTGAGACATATAGGAGTTGGAACTGAGACATATAGGAGTGGGACTGAGACATACAGGAGTGGAACTCAGACATCTGGGAGCAGAATTGAGACATACAGGAGTGGAACTGAGACATACAGGAGTGAAACTGAAACATCTGGGAGCAGAACTGAGACATAGAGGGGTGGAACTGAGACATACAGGAGTGGAAGTGAGACACACAGGAGTGGAACAGAGACATACAGGAGTGGAACAGAGACATACAGGAGTGGAACAGAGACATACAGGAGTGGAAATGAGACATCTGGGAGAAGAACTGAGACATACAGGAGTGGAACTGAGACATACAGGAGTGAAACTGAGACATACAGGAGCAGAATTGAGACATACAGGAGGGGAACTCAGACCTGGGAGCAGAAATGAGACATGCAGAGCAGAACTAAGACCTCTGGGAGCAGAACTGAGACATGCAGAGCAGAACTGAGACATACAGGAGTGGAACTGAGACATCTGGGAGCAGAACTGAGACATACACGATAGGAACTGAGACATCTGGGAGCAGAACTGAGACCTCTGGGAGCAGAACTGAGACACACAGGATAGGAACTGAGACATCTAGGAGCAGAACTGAGACCTCTGTGAAAAATAGCGCCCATTTTCCTTAGATTTGTTACAACTAATACGTTTTACTGTAGTTAAAAATGTCCACATTCCAGTGCTTGTATTGGTTATTTTGATGCTATTGCTAACTTTTAATATTACTTGATGTGTGAATGAAATGATGTAAGAATGGAGGGAGACCTCGAAGGGCAGAATGTTAGACGGGCCTGCGTCCCCAATTCTTAACCCTTTAAAAATAAAGTTTGTTCGTTCGTTCGTTCGTTCTGGGAGCAGAACTGAGACATACAGGATAGGAACTGAGACATCTGGGAGCAGAACTGAGACCTCTGGGAGCAGAACTAAGACATACAGGATAGGAACTGAGACATCTGGGAGCAGAACTGAGACCTCTGGGAGCAGAACTGAGACCTCTGGGAGCAGAACTGAGACATACACGATAGGAACTGAGACATCTGGGAGCAGAACTGAGACCTCTGGGAGCAGAACTGAGACATACAGGATAGGAACTGAGACATCTGGGAGCAGAACTAAGACCTCTGGGAGCAGAACTGAGACATACAGCAGTGGAACTGAGACCTCCGGGAGCAGAACTGAGACACACAGGATAGGAACTGAGACATCTGGGAGCAGAACTGAGACCTCTGGGAGCAGAACTGAGACAAATACAAATGAACTGAGCCATCACATCTAGAAGCAGGAGTGAAACTGAGACACAGAGGAGTGGAACTCAGACATCTAGGTGTGGAACTCAAGATACCTATGATTGATTACACCTTACTGCAGTTACTAGTATCAATAATAATTGTTGCGACAATGGAAATCTCAGTGAATGTCAACATCAACAGATGCTGAACATCAAATGTGATGAGAAACACAACAACAGAGAAGGAACATCAAATGTGATGAGAAACACAACATCAACAGAGATTGAACATCAAATGTGATGAGAAACACAACATCAACAGAGACTGAACATCAAATGTGATGAGAAACACAACAACAGAGAAGGAACATCAAATGTGATGAGAAACACAACATCAACAGAGACTGAACATCAAATGTGATGAGAAACACAACAACAGAGAAGGAACATCAAATGTGATGAGAAACACAACATCAACAGAGATTGAACATCAAATGTGATGAGAAACACAACATCAACAGAGACTGAACATCAAATGTGATGAGAAACACAACAACAGAGAAGGAACATCAAATGTGATGAGAAACACAACATCAACAGAGATTGAACATCAAATGTGATGAGAAACCCAACAACAACAGAGATTGAACATCAAATGTGATGAGAAACACATCAACAGAGACTGAACATCAAATGTGATGAGAAACATAACAACAACAGAGAAGGAACATCAAATGTGATGAGAAACACAACATCAACAGATGCTGAACATCAAATGTGATGAGAAACACAACAACAGAGAAGGAACATCAAATGTGATGAGAAACACAACATCAACAGAGACTGAACATCAAATGTGATGAGAAACATAACAACAACAGAGAAGGAACATCAAATGTGATGAGAAACACAACATCAACAGAGATTGAACATCAAATGTGATGAGAACACAACAACAGAGATTGAACATCAAATGTGATGAAAAACACAATATCAACAGAGATTGAATATCAAATGTGATGAGAAACACAACAACAACAGAGAAGGAACATCAAATGTGATGAGAAATGTAACATCAACAGAGATTGAACATCACAGGTGATGAGAAACACAATAAACAAATGACATAAGCAAAAACAAAATGATCTGATGAAAGTCTGTCAACATGCAAACAACCAAATACAAGAACACTTGGCTGGAAAGCAAAAATGGTCATTCACGCAAACGATACATTTGAACATCAGAGGGGAGAGAAAAAATATCTGAACATCACAGGGAAAGAAAAAAATTCAAAACAACAGAAAAATAAAATTCTTTAAAGGCACATGCCTGCACGCAAACGCATGCACGCACAAACACACACATACAAAATACACGCTCAAAAGACTTCATCAACTAACAAGAGAACTTTTTTTTTTTAAAACAACGATGCCATTAAAGAGGAGACAAGAAGCAAGAAGAATGTGCCTACAGTAGTGTTCCCAGGTCTCTGGCTGTGACTTGAGCAGGGACGAGAGGCCAGTGATCAGTCTGACATACTGGTGATGAGCTGGCGCACAATGCTGAGCAAAGAGGCGGTCAGCCTGGGCCAGCGTCTGCACCAGGGAGATCCCTTGAGCCAAGGTCTGCAGTATCTGTGGCTGGTGACCAACCTTGGCAGTCGTGTATGTAGACAGCAGATTGTATAAGCACAGGATGACTGCTGCCACAAGCTGCAAGAAAATCATCAATGAAAGACGCATTGATCAGTAAATAATGCATTAGGGAGACAGAACTAGTACAGAAGACAGTAGACATGGCAGAGAACTTGATGGAACAAAAAAGAGATAGCGGATACATACAACATTTTATGTTTAAGAATAGCTGATGAAATAACAGAGATGGTGATAAGCTAGAAATAAATTACATAAATAATTTATATGTTGACAAACTGGTGGGTACAGCTAAAAATATAAAATACATAAAAGACAAGCTGAAAAATATAGCAGTGACAAAGCAAAAGCTAATAATGGAAAATGAAAGCAGACACAAATGTATAAAAGACAAATTGACAGCAAAATAAGGTAGCTGAATCACAAGCTGGACAAAGTGACACATGAATCAAACAAACTTTGAACACTTGTCAGAGATGAGAGACAAACTGAGAAAAGAATAAAGATTAAGTACATGTTACAATATAACAGAACAGAAATATGAGGAAGAAATAACAGAACTATATAATCATCTCTACTAGACATCTAATAAGGACTTGATGCTGGCTATGAGCGTTTAGCCTGAAACCATACATTCTGGCTGCTCTGGGATCTTTCTCCCCATACTTACTGAAGCTGTCTCATTTCACCAGATTCTGTACAGTTCCTAACATTGAATCTCTTCTTCTTTGTTCACCATCTGTAAGCTCTGGAGGCAATGTCTGGTTGTTCATCCATTAAGGCCTGACTTTTGCATGTACCTCTGTTTTAATGAATTATTTGTGTGCAGCTGTTTGTCATGCTGCTCTGACAGATGCACTCCAACTTGGAAGGAAGCCCCCAGTTAGTGCACTCCAACTTGGAAGGAAGCCCCTAGTTAGTGCACTCCAACTTGGAAGGAAGCCCCTAGCTAGTGAACTCTAACTTGAAAAGAAGCTCCCAGTTAGTGCACTCCAACTTGGAAGGAAGCCCCTAGCTAGTGAACTCTAACTTGAAAAGAAGCCCCTAGTTAGTGCACTCCAACTTGGAAGGAAGCTCTCAGTTAGTGCACTCCAACTTGGAAGGAAGCTCTCAGTTAGTGCACTCCAACTTGGAAGGAAGCTCTCAATTAGTGCACTCCAACTTGGAAGGAAGCTCTCAGTTAGTGCACTCCAACTTCGAAGAAAGCCCCCAGTTAGTGCACTCATACTTGGAAGGAAGCCCTAGTTAGTGCACTCCAACTTGAAAGAAAGCTCCCAGTTAGTGCACTCCAACTTGCAAGAAAGCCCCCAGTTAGTGCACTCCTACTTGGAAGGAAGCCCCTAGTTAGTGCACTCCAACTTGAAAGAAAGCTTCCTAGTGCACTCCAACTTGGAAGGAAGCTCTCAGTTAGTGCAATCCAACTTCGAAGGAAGCTCCCAGTTAGTGCACTCCTGTGGCAGGTTTGTGGGGAAGGCACTGGGTCTATTCTTGTTTTCCCCAAAAGTAAGCCCCAGGAACCCACACAGGAACAACTCCACTTGTTTTGGTCAACCCGTGTAACTGTACACAGTCATGCTTGTCATCAGCTCATTATCTCAGTAAACTGCCTGTCATGACTGGTCATAGTAATGTGAAGCTGAACCAATCAAATGTCAGCCACTTATTTTAGTTCACCTGAAGTTTTAGAGTCCCAATTACTAGGCCCAGTTTTTTAGAGATCTGGCAAATTTAGGACCCACAATCCTTGTCCTGTAGTGTCTTTTAGAGACAAGCTATTTTCTGCTGTGTGTTGAAATAAAAGGTATGTTGACCAGGGAATCATGAGAAAGGTCAACAATACCTGAGTCAACACTCATCATAAGAATTGACGGGCAAGGCCTAGCACACAAAGGGGAAGCTAGGGTCAGCATGAGTTGATCTAAGTCCCGTGAATAATCGCAATGGGATCCACAAATCTGTAAAAGCACGGAGAACTCACTCATGGAATGAACTTGGGCAGGTCTCAAGGATAAGTCAGTTGAGAGGAAATTGTCTTGCTGCAAAGACCTGTGAAGTCCTTCGCTAATTGAGCAAGCAATCATTCTGCAGCGGGAAGTTGATCGTTCCTCGCCAATGTTCTGGCTTTCAATTATATGTTGTGGAAACTCAGTGATGGGATTCTCTAGTCAGTTTCTTGTGTAAAATTCTTTGTTAACTCTCTGACTTACGACTGTGCAGGTTGTGGAGACTCAGTGATGGGATTCTCTGGTCAGTTTATTGTGTGAAATTCCTTGTTAACTCTCTGACTTAAGACGGCGCAGGTTCTGGAGACTAAAGAATGGGATTCTCTGGCCAGTTTATTGTGTGAAATTCCTTGTTAACTCTTTGACTTACGACTGTGCATGTTGTGGAGACTCAGTGATGGGATTCTCTGGCCAGTTTATTGTGTGAAATTTCCTTGTTAACTCTCTGACTTACGACTGTGCAGGTTCTGGAGACTCAGGAAGGGAGTCTCTAGTTAGTTCATGATTCTAACTCGCGACTATATGTCGTTGAAATGTGAGAATTGAGTAACATTTCAAGTCAGTCGTATTACGCACCTGTTTAATGTATTGTATTATTCGCGGCAATACTGAGTAGATTTAATTGAGATTGTCCAGTACTACTGCTAGCACTAGATGAGTGTCTAGCCGGTTGTCGTAGGCACAGAGGCGGTGATAGCTCAAGGATTCAGGAACGGCAGCAAAAGTGGACAAGCGCCGCTTGTAACTAATTTTATAGATGTGAAGCACATTGTGTCAAGCAAGCTCTTCAAGGCCATTTGCAGGCTGTAGGCTGTATCTTGTGATCTACATAATTACATCCATATGTGTGTGCGTGCTGGTAGGCACCAATGTTCTGTCTAAAAACTAGTGAAGAGTGTATTATTTCGTTATGAGCTAACTTGTGTTGCACCTCGTGTCATGAAGGTTAATCAGTACCACCTAGATACTTTGCCAAGAATGCTGGAGTTAGCTCCCCTCCAGTTTATAATATTATCTCCCCTTGCATCCAATGCTGCAGAGTCACTTTTCCGTATGAGATTTTAACATGCACAGGGAACCTCATGATGTCTGCTCTTACCCAAAAACTTTGGCGTCTAATCTCACTACCAAGATGTTAAAAATCATGATTCCATCAAAAAGCAATGGTTCTTGTAAAAACATTCATGGCCTTATATTAGGATGGTGCTGGGACATTTCTGAACCAGAGGTGAACATGAAAGCCCCTCAACCAACTACTAAACCAACCAACCAACCACCCAATGAACCAACCAAACAAACGAACAATCACTTTAGTCCATCTACTCTAATGTCAGGTGACAAACCAGTGACGGTGACAAGACACACCTAGCTGAGGTCTGACTCACCTGGTCTCTGCACGGACAGGAGTTAGACAGCAGGAAATGTAATCCTGACCTGTGGTGGGAGATAATGCTGGACAGACACATCACATACTGCAGGATAGAGGAAAATATTGTATAGAGTTTACATGAAGAGAAAAAGGGAAATGTGTCAAGTCAGTCATATGTTTGACAGTAACGCTCTACAGACAACTGGCTCAGTGTGTAGATAACTGACTCAGTTTGTAGACAACTGACAGTCTGTAGACAACTGACTCAGTCTGTAGACAACTGACTCAGTCTGTAGACAACTGACTCAGTCTGTAGACAACTGACTCAGTCTGTAGGCAACTGACTCAGTCTGTAGGCAACTAACTCAGTCTGTAGGCAACTAGACTCAGTCTGTAGAAAACTGACTCAGTCTGTAGAAAACTGACTCAGTCTGTAGACAACTGACTCAGTCTGTAGACAACTGACTCAGTCTGTAGACAACTGACTCAGTCTGCAGACAACTGACTCAGTCTGTAGACAACTGACTGTAGAAAACTGACTCAGTCTGCAGACAACTGACTCAGTCTGCAGACAACTGACTTAAGTCTGTAGACAACCTACCTGTCCATAAACAAGTTACTTAGTCTACAGACAACTGCATATTAAACAGCAATAAATATGGAAAAAAAGGTCATAAATGTGGTTATTATAGTCAAAGTATGTGAATTAATTGTGGACTTTATAGTCACATGTGTGGACATTACAGCCAGAAGTGTGGACATTACAGCCATAAGTGTGGACATTACAGCTAGAAGTGTGGACATTACAGCTAGAAGTGTGGACATTATAGCTAGATGTGTGGACATTATAGCCATAAGTAAGGACATTACAGCTAGAAATGTGGACATTACAGCCATAAGAGTAGACATTACAGCTAGAAGTGTGGACATTATAGCCATAAGTAAGGACATTACAGCTAGAAATGTGGACATTATAGCCATAAGTGTGGATATTACAGCTAGAAAAGTGGACATTATAGCCATAAGTGTGGACATTACAGCTAGAAGTGTGGACATTACAGCCAGAAGTGTGTACATTACAGCTAGAAGTGTGGACATTATAGCTAGAAGTGTGTACATTACAGCCATAAGTGTGGACATTACAGCTAGAAGTGTGGACATTATAGCTAGAAGTGTGGACATTATAGCTAGAAGTGTGGACATTATAGCTAGAAGTGTGGACATTATAGCTAGAAGTGTGGACATTACAGCTAGAAGTTTGGACATTACAGCTAGATGTGTGGACATTACAGCTAGATGTATGGACATTACAGCCATAAGTGTGGACTATCAAAGCCAGATTTGTGGACACTACAGCCAGAAGTGTGAAGATTATAGATATAAGTGTGGACACTACAACCATATGATAAGGAGGCTAACCTCTCTCTGCAGCTCAAACATGCCTTCAGCTTTCAAGGAACAAGCTCTGTGCATCAAATAGAAAGGGCAGCTTTCTGTCAGAAATAGAACAATGCAGCTGTTTTACAAATTTGATGTACACGTGTTCTGTTCTATCACAGATACCTTAAGTAACATCCATTATTACTGTCAACAATAAATGTGATGTAAATATTCATGATCAATGTTGCAAAAAGCACTTTTAGTTAAAACAGCAACAGTGTCTTCTTCTTCACTTCCTCTTTTACTGCTGTGGGTGTCGAGGGAGATATAAGGTTCTGTTTCTAGCTCTTCTGGCTGCCTCGACCATAGGCACATCGTGCTGTTGTAGAGTTTCTCTGATGTTATCCTTCCATCTTGTTCTTGGTCTACCACGTGCTCTACGTCCTTCTTCTCTTTCCATGTATGCTTTGTATGGTATGGTGTCACAAGGCATTCTCTCTAAGTGGGCAAACCATTTCACTTGCTGTCTTTGTATGTAATCCAGAATTGGTTCTGTGCCGACTTGTTCTCTTATGATCTCATTCCTGATCTTATCTCTTATGGTCACTCCTACAGCCCTTCTCAGACATCTCATTTCCATGGTTACTAATTTTCTTTTATGGTTTGTTGTGAGTGACCATGTCTGGCACTGGTAGCACAGAGTTGGAATAAATATGCTTTGAATAAGATGTCTCTTTGTGCTGATTGGGATTGTCTTATGCTGTAAGAGGGGGGCTAGCTGTCCCAATACTTGGTTTGCTTTACTGCATCTAATGTCAGTTTCTTTATCCAATTTCCCATCTTCGGTAAATGTAGTTCCCAGATATTTAAACTCAGATGCCTGAGCAACAGTGTACAGGGAGAAATAAGGGAGGAGGGGAGCCGGGGTGAGTGGAAGCAACAGGTAATGTTCAAATGGTTGAGAATTAGACAAGCTGACAGTCTGATGTTGCTCCTGCAATCATCTATCACAATGTTAACTATATGTAGAAATATGCAAGCTATACCATTGAGCTATAAACATTTCTGTGTTGGGCTCTGACACTGTACACATTCCTACAGGTCCTCTGTATAGTATATATTTATATGTGTATGTGTCTCTCTCTCTCTCTTTTTGAGAGAGAAAGAAAGACAGGGACAGGGAAAAGACTGAGAAAGAGACAGTGGGAAGAAAGCACAAAAATATGAGTAAGAGAGAAGTGTGACAAATAGGAGAAAGTGGTAGACGAAGAGTTAGAGAACAGTCAGGCAGAGGATGTTTGAGAGAAAGCAAAGGAAGTGTTAGGGAGACTGTAACAGAGAAAGAGTGCAAGGTACAAGATGAAGAAAGTGACATGTTTCAGTCACGTGGGTGTTCTGTGTCACCAACAGTCCTGAAGATGACATCCAACACTGCGAGCACCTCTCAGGTATCCACAAATAAATCTAATGTTTTATCCTACACAGCTTGCTGACAATACTGACCAGACTGTGTGCACAACTTGACCAGCAAAGTTTTACACCTGGCCAATGAAAGCAGGAGTCTCACAGCATGCACAAGAACTGGGGTCTGCTTTGTCTGTTGGAAACATCTGGACAAGATCTCTCTGGTGATGACTGGCTCCAACCTGCGGACACAAGACACATTTATGACACAAGACACATTTATGACACAAGACACATTTATGACACAAGACACATTTATGACACAAGACACATTTATGACACAAGACACATTTATGACACAAGACACATTTATGACACAAGACACATCTGACACAAGACACATTTATGACACAAGACACATTTATGACACAAGACACATTTATGACACAAGACACATTTATGACACAAGACACATTTATGACACAAGACACATTTATGACACAAGACACATTTATGACACAAGACACATTTATGACACAAGACACATTTATGAAACAAGACACATTTATGACACAAGACACATTTATTAAATGTCTGCTGTCACAAGACCCATAAATGTCCACATTCCCAGTGGGGGTTCCAGTGCTCCACTGTAGCGAGGGGACCTAGTGACCCTCTAAGATGCATTCTCTAAATGTAAACTAACTAGGGGCATTTCCCAAAATGCGAGGAACCAACATCTGCATACAAATAATCCAGATGTGTAAAATGGATGTGCATGCAAAACAAAAGTGCAAAAACAACTATTGTTCATTAGAGTCCACAGCTAGTGAATACTCAGAAGAAGAAATAAGAACGCCCACATGCTTGTGTCAGCCTCAATGACCGCTACAAGAAAACATGACTACAGGAGAAAGCTGGAAAAGACTGCCACTGTAACAGACCCACAGGTGTTTTTATCTGGTGTTTGCAAAAAAGCTGAAAAAGCACATTTTTGGAGTGAATTCAGAACACTCTCACCTGGGCAACTGTTCCTTGGTGCTGCGCTGGCACAGGCATGTCAGAATCCTCAAGGCTAAGCTGACCACTTCTGGGTTTGACTGACCATGCTAAAAGAGAGAAGCCAATTATTGGTCAGAAGTATATGCATACACAAAACCAGGTACATGGTAATATTTCAAAGAAAACCAACACAATCTGAGGGCATCAGGAATGTCTACCAGAGAACAGAAGGAGCCAGCAAAAATGTTGCCACAACTAGGAAATATCTGGGTGACACAGTAACAAATGCTGGTCACAAGTTTCTGACCACCTACTAAATAACTGAAATCAAATCAATGTGGCTGTGTGTGTCAGAATGAGCTGGCTAGCACTGACAACCTCAGAATAGATTGCGGGAAAAATCATAAAGTATATGTCAGCTGTACAGGAACAATTACAGCAAACAAAGGATGTTGCAGTGGATTAGCCTTCATCAGCAGAACAATGATGAGAAACAAGACAACAGATAACATGAAGAACTGACTCTAAAACGATTACATTACAGTATTAAAATATGACATAAACGCTTTGTGAATCCTGGACAATCAGTAGGCAGGCAAAACAATTTCTTGAGGGCTCAGAGATGTGGTTTTACAGAAGAATGCTTAAAATACTTGGACAGCCAAAAAGAGCAACTTAGAGGTTTTGAAAAAAGTGGAAGCCCAAAGACAACTTATCACATACGTCAGACGGAGACAGTCATAATTTTTGGGCCATGTTATGAGAAGAGGGAAAATGGAACATGTGACCACTGGAAAGATCTGTGGAAGGAGGGATAGAGGAAGACAATAAGAGAAGATTCTTGACAGTCTTGTTGCATGGCATGGAGGTGTGTCAGCACACAAACTGATACATGCTGCAGGAGATCGTAGATGGTGAAGAAGCATGATCACCCATGCCAGTCAGCAAGGCACTTGATGATGATGTTGATGATAAACACTTCTCCTGTGTATTGATCAGCTGCAAACTGTGGTGGAAAGTTCTGGTTGTTTATCCACTTCTGGACTTCAGTCTTGATCCAGAACTGAGTTCTGCATGCAGATCTGTTTTACAGATCTGCATTATTTGTGTGCAGATTGTTGGTTCCTTGCCTCTCAGGCAGATGCACTTTGACTTTGCAGGAAACATCCCTAATTAATCGCCTCTTACAACATGCTTGTTAGGGAGTAGTGGGTATATTCCCCCCTTCCCCCCACCCACCCCTCCAAGAATGGAAGGAACCTAAAGAACCCATATGTGAATTTACGTAAACAAAAGAAACAAAAAAATAATAAACAACAGAATTATATAAATGGCATGACTGCTGGGTCGCTGTGAATTTCTGAAGAACAAACAGAAACATTCATGAAGTCTCTGTGCACGTGTCACAAAATGCTTGTCATCCGCTCATATTTTAGAACATTTTGTGATATAGCTGGTGATGGTAACCTAAGGTTTAATAACTATGTGCCCCATTTATCTGATGTCACCAGGAGCTGCAAATCTCAAATACTGGAGCCACTCGAAGGGTGGAGCCACTCAAAGGGAAGGAGCCTAGTTCCAATCTGAGGCAGACCTGTAAGGCATTTTATAATTAAAATTTAGCATGCGCGCGTACTTGCATAAAACAGATGTACTTCAATTGTATGGCAAAATTATTCATGTGGAAGCCATGAAAAAAAAATGATAATCAGCTTTTGGCTGATCAAAAGTGAGAGCAACTTACAGCCAATCAGAGGTGAGGGGACAATGTAAGTGCTGGGAATACACAACCATTCAAGGATACCAGTTAAAAACAACAATGTAAGTGCTGGAAGGATGCAATCATTCAAGGATACCAGTTAATAACAACAATGTAAGTGCTGGAAGGATGCAACCTTTTAAGGATACCAGTTAATTACAACAATGTAAGTGCTGGAAGGATGCAACCTTTTAAGGATACCAGTTAATAACAACAATGTTAGTGCTGGGAGGATGCAACCTTTCAAGGATACTAGTTAATAACAACAATGTAAGTGCTGGGAGGATGCAACCTTTTAAGGATACCAGTTAATAACAACAATGTAAGTGCTGGAAGGATGCAACCTTTTAAGGATACCAGTTAATTACAACAATGTAAGTGCTGGAAGGATGCAACCTTTTAAGGATACCAGTTAATAACAACAATGTAAGTGCTGGGAGGATGCAACCTTTTAAGGATACTAGTTAATAACAACAATGTAAGTGCTGGGAGGATGCAACCTTTCAAGGATACTAGTTAATAACAACAATGTAAGTGCTGGGAGGATGCAACCTTTTAAGGATACTAGTTAATAACAACAATGTTAGTGATGGGAATACACAACCATTCAAGGATACTAGTTAATAACAACAATGTAAGTGCTGGGAGGATGCAACCTTTCAAGGATACTAGTTAATAACAACAATGTTAGTGCTGGGAATACACAACCATTCAAAGATACTAGTTAATAACAACAATGTAAGTGCTGGGAATACACAACCGTTCAAGGATACTAGTTAATAACAACAATGTTAGTGCTGGGAATACACAACCATTCAAGGATACTAGTTAATAACAACAATGTAAGTGCTGGGAGGATGCAACCTTTCAAGGATACTAGTTAATAACAACAATGTTAGTGCTGGGAATACACAACCATTCAAAGATACTAGTTAATAACAACAATGTTAGTGCTGGGAATACACAACCATTCAAAGATACTAGTTAATAACAACAATGTTAGTGCTGGGAATACACAACCATTCAAAGATACTAGTTAATAACAACAATGTTAGTGCTGGGAATACACAACCATTCAAAGATACTAGTTAATAACAACAATGTTAGTGCTGGGAATACACAACCATTCAAGGATACCAGTTAATAACAACAATGTAAGTGCTGGGAATACACAACCATTCAAAGATACTAGTTAATAACAACAATGTAAGTGCTGGGAATACACAACCATTCAAGGATACTAGTTAATAACAACAATGTAAGTGCTGGGAATACACAACCATTCAAGGATACCAGTTAATAACAACAATGTAAGTGCTGGGAGGATGCAACCATTCAAGGATACCAGTTAATAACAACAATGTAAGTGCTGGGAGGATGCAACCATTCAAGGATACCAGTTAATAACAACAATGTAAGTGCTGGAAGGATGCAACCTTTTAAGGATACCAGTTAATAACAACAATGTAAGTGCTGGGAGGATGCAACCTTTCAAGGATACTAGTTAATAACAACAATGTAAGTGCTGGGAGGATGCAACCATTCAAGGATACTAGTTAATAACAACAATGTTAGTGCTGGGAGGATGCAACCATTCAAGGATACTAGTTAATAACAACAATGTAAGTGCTGGGAGGATGCAACCTTTTAAGGATACCAGTTAATAACAACAATGTAAGTGCTGGGAGGATGCAACCTTTCAAGGATACTAGTTAATAACAACAATGTAAGTGCTGGGAGGATGCAACCATTCAAGGATACTAGTTAATAACAACAATGTTAGTGCTGGGAGGATGCAACCATTCAAGGATACTAGTTAATAACAACAATGTAAGTGCTGGGAGGATGCAACCTTTCAAGGATACTAGTTAATAACAACAATGTAAGTGCTGGGAGGATGCAACCTTTCAAGGATACTAGTTAATAACAACAATGTAAGTGCTGGGAGGATGCAACCATTCAAGGATACTAGTTAATAACAACAATGTAAGTGCTGGGAGGATGCAACCATTCAAGGATACTAGTTAATAACAACAATGTAAGTGCTGGGAGGATGCAACCATTCAAGGATACTAGTTAATAACAACAATGTAAGTGCTGGGAGGAGGCAACCTTTCAAGGATACTAGTTAACAACAACAATGTAAGTGCTGGGAGGATGCAACCATTCAAGGATACTAGTTAATAACAACAATGTCAGTGCTGGGAGGATGCAACCATTCAAGGATACTAGTTAATAACAACAATGTTAGTGCTGGGAGGATGCAACCATTCAAGGATACTAGTTAATAACAACAATGTCAGTGCTGGGAGGATGCAACCATTCAAGGATACCAGTTAATAACAACAATGTTAGTGCTGGGAGGATGCAACCATTCAAGGATACTAGTTAATAACAACAATGTTAGTGCTGGGAGGATGCAACCATTCAAGGATACCAGTTAATAACAACAATGTAAGTGCTGGGAGGATGCAACCATTCAAGGATACCAGTTAATAACAACAATGTAAGTGCTGGGAGGATGCAACCATTCAAGGATACTAGTTAATAACAACAATGTCAGTGCTGGGAGGATGCAACCATTCAAGGATACTAGTTAATAACAACAATGTCAGTGCTGGGAGGATGCAACCATTCAAGGATACTAGTTAATAACAACAATGTCAGTGCTGGGAGGATGCAACCATTCAAGGATACTAGTTAATAACAACAATGTCAGTGCTGGGAATACACAACCATTCAAGGATACTAGTTAATAACAACAATGTCAGTGCTGGGAATACACAACCATTCAAGGATACTAGTTAATAACAACAATGTCAGTGCTGGGAGGATGCAACCATTCAAGGATACTAGTTAATAACAACAATGTCAGTGCTGGGAATACACAACCATTCAAGGATACTAGTTAATAACAACAATGTCAGTGCTGGGAGGATGCAACCATTCAAGGATACTAGTTAATAACAACAATGTCAGTGCTGGGAGGATGCAACCATTCAAGGATACTAGTTAATAACAACAATGTAAGTGCTGGGAGGATGCAACCATTCAAGGATACCAGTTAATAACAACAATGTCAGTGCTGGGAGGATGCAACCATTCAAGGATACTAGTTAATAACAACAATGTCAGTGCTGGGAGGATGCAACCATTCAAGGATACTAGTTAATAACAACAATGTCAGTGCTGGGAGGATGCAACCTTTCAAGGATACTAGTTAATAACAACAATGTCAGTGCTGGGAGGATGCAACCATTCAAGGATACTAGTTAATAACAACAATGTCAGTGCTGGGAGGATGCAATCATTCAAGGATACTAGTTAATAACAACAATGTCAGTGCTGGGAATACACAACCATTCAAGGATACTAGTTAATAACAACAATGTTAGTGCTGGGAATACACAACCATTCAAGGATACTAGTTAATAACAACAATGAGTAGTAGAGGAAACTTTCATAATGAAATTTACCCCCCTCCCCCGGCTGGAATTTACCACCAAGTAAAAAATGCTGAGAGAGACTAATCACCTGCACATCCTGACCTGCCAATGTCAAGACCAGGTGGAATAAGGAACAGTTGACCCGGGTGTCCAGCTGGTGGCTGCCAGAGTTCATAGACTGATTGGACTGGTTGCCGTCAGTTTTAATTATTCTGATCTCCGAAGAAGTGGAGCTACTTTCATCATCTGCGTCTGCACTTGAGGAGCTTTTCTGTTCACATTTGTGAGGGAAACAAATATAGCACTGTAATCATAGCACGGACAGTATGTGAAAGAAAGAAAGAAAGAAAGAAAGAAAGAAAGAAAGAAAGAAAGAAAGAAAGAAAGAAAGAAAGAAAGAAAGAAGAAAGAAAGAAGAAAGAAAGAAAGAAAGAAAGAAAGAAAGAAAGAAAGAAAGAAAGGAAGAAAGAAAGAAAGAAAGAAAGAAAGAAAGAAAGAAAGAAAGAAAGAAAGAAAGAAAGAAAGAAAGAAAGAAAGAAAGAAAGAAAGAAAGAAAGAAAGGAAAGAAAGAAAGAAAGAAAGAAAGAAAGAAAGAGAGAAAGAAAGAAAGAAAGAAAGAAAAGAAAGAAAAAGAAAGAAAAAAAGAAAGAAAGAAAGGGAAAAAAAAGAACGAAAGAAAAAAAAAATAGAGACAGGCAGAAAGAGAGAAAGATTTTTATCATTCAACTGACAGAAAGAGTGAAAGAAATACAGACTCAAAAAAACCAAAAGTGCTGGGTTACAGAGCCACAAAGAAATATGACCCCCCCCCCCCCCCCCCCCCCCCCCCCATGCAACCTCCTTTCCCCTTAGAGGATCCTAACACTGTAGCCTAACAGACATAAAAAAATGGCTGGTCTTAGAGTTGGACATTCCATCCCATTCAATTCAATAAAAATATTTATGCCACAAAAGTCAGCCTACTGGGAAGAGTAATATATAGATAGAAAGAAGTTGTTCTTCTAGACAACTTTAATGTGATAAGAAGAAAATTTGAAATAAAGATATTTAAAACATATCAAGACAAATGAATAATTTGGAAAAAGGGGGGGGGGGGTGGAGGAGGGAGACAGAAGTGATCTGCAGGAGACAACAACAAATTGGATGATTTGGTCAGGACCTATGCTCCTACGTGTGATTGTACAAGAAGAGAAAAGGAAGAAGAAGAAGTAATGGCATTGAAGAGCTGTCCCACTCACATCCCAGGCTCTAAAGAGAAATACATCAGTCAGACATCAGGGTAATACACCTTACCATGCTGCCTATTCTGGGTTTGAATATGAACATTTCAAGTGACACCACTGTGTTCAGATGTGGTTTAGATTTCTTCTTTGCGTCTAAGTTCATATGTAGGTGTGTGTCTATGTCTGTGTCTGAGTTCATATGTGGTTCTGTGTGCAAGTTTGTAACGTATGTTTGTGGCTAAGTTCATACACAGGTTTATGTCTAAGTTCACATGTAGATTTGCGTCTAATTGTGTATTAGGTTTGTGACTAAGATTATTTTTAGGTTTGTGTCTAAGTTTGTGACCAAGTTTATATGAAGGTTTGTGTCTAAGTATTAGAATACGGGTGGGAAAACTCTCTCAGCAAAGCCCATTTATCAATGTCATTGTGACAGTATGAACCCACTATGTCTCTACAAACATAATGAAACTGTTAAGATCATTTGTAAATGAATTAAACATAAAACAAAAACATACTTTGCTCTGATCAGTTTCAGTCTCCGTAGTCGATGAACTGCTTGATCTGTTGCCACCGATCTTCACCATGCTCAAAATTGGTGTCACACCAGGGTGTGTTGCCATGACCAGGGCATGCCTCACAGCCGGACACAAGTAGACGAGTCTAGCCAAACAGCGCAGAGCTGTAACAGCACACCCCTCGATGTTGCTGGCATACACCCTCCCTTCCTGCAGCAGCAACCCCAGGTGACTGCTGAGAGTTTCAAAACTTGAGGCAGTGCTGGAGTCTAGACTTTGTGGTGAGGGGATCCCTTCTGTTCCACTAGTGTTTAATGTCCTAACTACTCTTCCAGAAGACGACTGAACCAGATCAACATAATGCTGAATGTAATTTGTTAACAAGGGCAGGATCAAAACAGCCCCAGCATTTCTTGAAGTTTCTCTTCTTTTGCTAGCGTCAAGACAACCTGTAGAGTCCTCTGAATGTTGAACTGAGCCCGCAGCAGACCTCATTTTAACCTGTGTAGTGTCTCTGCTGGGTTCTATTGTACCTGGATTACCTGCAACTATTTCTGCTTCAGCTGGATTGTTTATTTTTATACTCCCGTCAGAAATACTGTTGATTTCAGAATCAAGGCCACCTGAAAGAAGAACATTCATAAATTGATTCTGAAAATGGCATAATTTGTTTGCTCTTGATCTCATTCATTCATATTTTACAAAGTTTTACTTCACATGCCAAAGAACATATACCACAACAAACACATATATCTATACGATATCATCAAATAACATACACAACGATAAACATATATATTTAAATAATATCATCAAAAAACCTAAACCATGATATAAATATATATATTCTTATACAACATCATTCAATAAAATATACTATTTTAATATTTGGGATGGAATCCCTCTCAATTTTGATTCTTTCTCTTTCTTTATTATCTCTTTCAGTTCCTCTCTCTCATTATTTGATTTTTAGCATCTCTCAAACAAAACAGTATCCTGGTGCCAAGCACTGACAAATTTACTTTCAATGCATCAGGTAAATCATCTAGCTACAGCAGAAGCAACAATGAGCCCTGACCTTTTCCTGTGTGACCGTTGCTGTCCTGTAGCAGCTGTGTGATTCCTTCGATGGCCAGCTGCAGGCTCTGACGGGTGACGATCTGGACCATGACATCACTGGTGTCTGAACTGGCTGATCTGATGCCTGGTGTGTGCCTGTAAGTATGTCACACTTGTGTAAACACTACGCACATACTGCTACATACAGTCCTGTAACAACAGTCAATAACCCTGATAACATATAGCAGACAGATTTTTTTCTTCTTCTTTACATTCACCGGCTGTAAACTCCAGCGGAAATTTCTGGTTCTTCATCCACCACTTGAACCTGAGTGTTGGGTCAACATCCGTTTTACAGATCTGACTTATAGGTGTGCAAATGCAAACTGTTGGTTCCTCACCTCTAAAGCAGATGCACTCGGACTTTGAAGGAAGCACCCACTCCTACATGCTTGTTGGGGAGGCAGTGGGTCTATTCTTGTTTTACCCACAAGGGGGACCCGGAACCCACAAAGGAAAAAATCAAAGAATTCCAACTACTGTTTTCATGAGAGATATTAACATGAAAATGATTGTAAAGAAGGAAATAGACATGCTCTAAAAGGTGACAAATTAAGGGTTTGCTAAAACTGACTAAATAAACATTTTATCATCATGTGCCATGCCAACAAGCTTTGATGAGTTCAACATCTTACACTTCACCAGACACACAGATCAGGTCTGTGTTCTTGCCTGCCCAAGCTACCTAGCACAGCCCTTTATATATTTATCTCTGTCTTCCACTTTCTATTTTCCCAGCAAGCTTGCCAGTTGTCAGCAAGTTTGTTTTCCTAATGTCTTTTCATAACATGTACTCGTTCATACAGACAGATAAACACACATACATACGCACACACAAATTTCTGTTTATGTTTAATATCTTGAAACAGTTTACAATTGTTATCTGTCTCCAGGACTGCCTCATGTCTTTCTCTAACAGCTCATGATCAACACAAACACGCAGGCGCTCACACACACACACACACAAAACATTCCATGCTTGGTGGGGGAATATTTTCTTCTGTGCATGGTTGGCATGCTCTGTTGCAGTTTACAGCTAGGCTGCAGTATCTGTGCCTTTCAAACAAACACATCCAATTTCAGGAAAACCCTTGAAAGGTTGCCTTTTATGGCTTGCTTGTTAGGAGTGCAGCGGGTCCATTCTTGTTGCCCCAAAATGGAGCCTGAAACCCACACAAGGAAGATGGAGGACAGACAACAAGAACTGTGATCAATCTCTGAAACATTCGCAGGCAGCAGAATGTGTTCCCAAGCACAGAAATGTAACACTGCCTGAGAGATTTGTGATAGATCTGTTTTTGAAAAATCTGATAAATGTGACCTACTTCTTGGGTCTGTGAGGCAGCAGAAACTGGGAGTCCTTCTCTCTGCTGTAGGTCAGACCTGCAATCTTCAGTGAAGTGGACATGTCCTGCAGGAGACCAGCCAGGCCTGTATCCCAAGGGACCCTCTCTTCAGACGATGCTTCAAGTTCACTCAACCGCAGAAGGTGGCGCACCACTTGCGGCCCAGACATTTCTCCAAAAGCTGTTTAATTGTTAACAAAATCAAAGGTGATCATCAGGACAGATTATACTCGTATGACATGAGGGTAACACTCTTATGCCACAGGGTACAGTATATACAATGGAGACACAATGATGTACATGTTTTCCACTGATCACAGAACATACAAGGGATATGCTGTTAGGTCTGCATCTTCAATAACTACATAATTGTGCTCTAACTACTCAACCATTCATTCAATGTCACTGTGGTGGTGGTGCTAGTGGGAGCGGGGGGGGGGGGGGGGGGGGGGTTGAATTACAAATTAAAACCAAACTTCTGTGGTGGGTATTTGGATAAACAAAAGTAACAGCACTGTGTTTCTAACATGCACTCAATCAAAGCAATAACACGAACATACAGGATGTATGGGTAAATGAATGTATTTTCTGACACTTAATGATTGCAGGTGATGCATCGATGGCTAGAAGAAGGGGAGGGGTGGTTTGAGAAAGAAGGAGAAGATTAGAGGAGGCAGAAGGAGTCAAAGTGGCAGAGAGAGAGAGAGAGAGAGAGGTGTAGAGAAAATGGAAGTCAGAGAGAGAGAAATAAAGAGAAGGGACAAGGAGAAAGGTAACACAAAAAGTATGGCTTTCAGTCCAGGGTAGCAGACAGTATGAAGAAACATAGTGTAACAATCAGATAAGTAGGATGTAAATGAACACATACAGCCCAGACTTCAGGCACAAGTGATAACCAACACAACCTAACCTTGAGAGGATCCTGTGTTCAGATGTAATCTGCGCTGGACTGGCTTGTTTCCGCTCCCTGTTCCTAGAGAAGGTCAAGGACAAAAAAGTCCATGAAAACATGCTCACAGAATATATATTTCAATTTCACTTATATATTGAGTATCCCTAAGACCTGAACTAACAAGCTTGTCCTGATGCCTGCTGTACTCCAGTTGCTGACAGTATGCCAATGTTCTGTCAAATACTCACTCTGGTTATCAGGTTCAAGTCTGCTGACAATCAAATACAAAAACTACTTCGTAACTGTCGGGTTCCACCATATAACTATCGTATGTTGCTAAAAGGGATTTCTGGGATATTCTCTGCATTCACATCCAAATATTGGATCTCTGTCTCCTTTGGTATCAATCTTTTGGACTGCAATCCAGGGGGAGAGAAATTTTACAAAATAAAAAAAAATAAAAATAAAACTCAATCCAAAAAAAAAACTATGGAACAAACATGTTATTTTATCATGGAGCATATATGAATAGATCAGGCCTATTCTCATCCAGTCTCTGTTGCTGTTGTGGTGTATAGCAAACCTGAGATCCCATACTGTGCCATGGTTTTTGGCGGAGCAGAACAGTGGGAAAGATACTTGCCTTATCCTGGGAATAGGAGATGCAACTGGAAAACTTCATGGTATCACAGGGCAGATCTGGCACTCTGTCTTGGCTAATTTCTTTGAAGCTGGAGGGCATCTGCCTGAGAGGTGAGCAATCAACAGTCTGCACACAAATAAGCCAAATGTCCAACTGCTGATGAACAACCAGAACTTTCCATCAAAGTTTGTAGCCGTTAAAGAAGTTTTGGTTGACAGCTGGTCTAGGAGGGAAAGCCCCAACAGACTGAGAGACAGAATACCACTCTTCTGATTCAGCAGCTTCTGCATCATGCTTTCTACTAAAAGTTTTGATGCTACCTTTCCTCTGAATTAACAAGGCAGGTCAGAGAAAGGGGTCATGCTGCACTGGCAACACATGGACTCTACAGTACTGCTCAGGCTTTGGGTTATGAAGAGGAGAAACTTCATCACTACTCTTAACTGAACACTGCCATGGAATGTCATTCCCTTGCCTCATAACATCGACTGGAGAGACAGAGAGTGTCAAAAATGTATGTGCTACATGGCATCATCACCTGGTCAAATCTTGATGTGCCTGTCTGCAGATGACACCTTCCAGTACAGGTTCTGCAGATTCACTGATTCCCTGAGCTTGGGGGTGAAATTTCATCAAACCATGATAATGTTTTTACTGGGTTTGGGATGAAAGTTCATCAAACTACTGGGGTGGAAGTCAGTCTTAACAACAACAGAAGTCTGACTGATACAAGCACTTTTCTGGACATGTGTGCCCCAACCCATCAAACTACAGATTTAGCATTCAGTCTTTGCACTGCGAACATGTTTTGTAATGCTGGGGTGCCATGTTTGATCCCAGCTGCAGGTGATTTGGCAGCAGACCGCCAAGTGTTGGTTTTGACAGCAGTATTGAGAGCCGACCATCCAGAAAGCAAGGGCAAACTATTGCACGTAAATTTGCCTAGAAAAACCACAACAGCAAAAAAAATACTAGGGTTGGCTCTGCAACGATACGCACCTATTTTCACTTCCAGAAGTTTCACAGCCAGCCAGCCACTATACACACATATACAAGATCATGTGACCCTCTGGCTTGTGTTTTCCCATACATGTGACACAACTCCCAGACAGTACTTACCTGAGGTCTGACAGCAGACACTGGACACTGACTTGGTTGGTGACACATGGCAGTCAGGTGAAGCCTGCGGGAAAGTTTTCACAACATTCTTTAACTGAACCAAGGGCCAGTATTTAAAGGATGCTTGTGTTTGTCTTCCTGCTGTGGTGTTACTAACCCACTAACTGCTGGCTCTGTCCCTGTTTCCACTGTATCCCCCTCTCCTTCTTCTTGGCACTGACCAGCTGTAAACTCTGGCAAAATGTTTTGATGGCCAGTCCACTTGTGCTCTCTGGTCTTTTCCCACAACTTGAACTCCCCGTGTGGGTCCCACTGTGGGGAAAAACAAAAATATACCCACTGCTTCCCCGACTAGCATGTTGTAGGAGTTGACTAACTGGGAGCTTCCTTCAAAATCAGAGTGCATCTGCCTCAGAGGCAAGGAACCAACAGTGAGCTTACAAATAAGTCAGATCTGTAAAACGGATGTGCATACAAAACTCAGATTCTGGAGCAGGCCAGGAGTCCAGAAACGGACAATCAACCAGAACTTTCTGGTGGAGTTTGCAGCTGATAAATGCACAGAAAGATGACAGGAAGAGATCTTGAGCTCTGTGTGCTCATCTGTGTAACAAATCTGGTTTTTCTATGCAGACTTTTGGTTCCTCACCTCTGACTTTAAAAGAATTATCCCTAATAAGTCAACTTTTTCTCACATGACTGATGAAAGCAGTGAGGTCCCAGCGCCAACACAGGGAGCTGAACATCAGTGCTGTTTGAGAATACTTCCATCAAACACTCACAGACCTGCTGTCTCTGAACATCAAGGCTGTTTAAGGATACTTCCTTCAAACACTCACATACCCATTGTCTCTGAACATCAATACTGTTTGAGGATACTTCCATCAAACACTCACACACCTGCTGTCTCTGAACATCAGTGCTGTTTGAGGATACTTCCATCAAACACTGACAGACCTGCTGTCTCTGAACAGCAGTGCTGTTTGAGGATACTTCCATCAAACACTCACATGCCTGCTGTCTCTGAGCATCAGGGCTGTTTGAGAATACTTCCATCAAACACTGACAGACTTGCTGTCTCTGAACATCAATACTGTGTGAGGATACTTCCATCAAACACTCACACACCTGCTGTCTCTGAACATCAGTGCTGTTTGAGGATACTTCCATCAAACACTCACACACCTGCTGTCTCTGAACATCAGTGCTGTTTGAGGATACTTCCATCAAACACTCACACACCTGCTGTCTCTGAACATCAGTGCTGTTTGAGGATACTTTCATCAAACACTTACATACCTGCTGTCTCTAAATTTTAACGTACAAGTATAATACATCAATAATTGCTGGCATAGGAAATTCTTCACATACAGTGATTAGCTGCATCAGAAGTTGTTTCCTGACAGTAATGACTGTTTGTACCAGGACTTTGTAAAATGTAACAATAAATGACAGCAAGTTAAACAAATCTGTCCATTGACACTGATTACTGATTCTTTTACTGATTTAACAATCATCATCACAGAACACGGGCAAACCCATAGATGCTCCGTCTCCCGCAGCAAATGATGTAAGGTGTAGTTGCTAACTATTTCGGTAGCACACTGATTATACACACGCCGATCTCTTCCTCTAATCCATCTCTCCTTGCCGGATCCTCACTTATTTCCTCGTTCACACATTCTTGCCCATTTTATTTCACCTAATCTTGTGTCTTCTGCCAACAGTCATTCATATATGGTTCTCCTTGTCCCATATGAGTGTTCCCATAGTTTTTACTTCTGTAGCCATAAAATCCGCTTTCATTCCCTCGCACTCCTGCATACCCAGGACAGTATATCCACGTGATTCCCTGCAATGTTGGCATACTGATGCATAGTATCTACTCATGCTACATTAGTCCTTTTGAACCTTCATCAATGCCGACTGAGAATCAGACACAATACTTCTTCAGGTAACGGTTTTATTTTTGTCCCCAGCAGAACAAATCTCCGAACTTACTGAGGAATCTGAACCCAGGCCTACCCAGAGCAGGATAATATATAAAAAGGTTGAGATAGGAAAAACATCAGTAAACTGAATATATCATAATCAAAACAGATCACTACAACAGTGATGGGTGTTTATGTGTTGTCTCTCACCTGCTCCATGAAGGTCTGTGTGGTCGGGAAATGTGTCTTCCTGGAGCTGGCCAAGTCTCTTGCTTCCTGCTGCTTGAGTTTACTTGGGGGACTGGGTTTGACGCTCACCTGTTGGACCACATGCAAAAACACTCAATGTTGCTGCTGTTTGCAGCAACTTGTTTATTTTCTTTTCTAGTCACTCTAGTCAATCTTCTTCTTCTGTATTCACCCTTAGGACTTCAGCAACCAAAACAGGACATGAGAGGGAAGGCAGACTATGTACGGGCTCTCCTGTCAAATCCGGACGAAGAATAAACAGCCGTGGACGAGTTAGTCAGAGTTCTCTCCCTTGGCCGCACTCCGAACAGTAATCGGAAAAACAAACGAATAAACGAACACACTTACCTATCATCCTGCGGTTGCGTGTAGGGCTGCGTACGGTTTCGTGAGCATTGTGATGGTTGTGTAGTCATCATCATGCGGTTGTTGGGTTAGAGTTAGGGTTAGGGGTTAGGGGTTTAGGGTTAGGGGTAGGGTTAGGGTTAGGGTTAGATGTTAAAATTTTGACGTAGGGTTTGGAATAGTGGCCGACAATCTGATGTTTGTGGGCGTGGCGCCACTGGAATTCCTGCGAAAAAATATGACGCCAATAGTGTGCGGCTGGTGCCCAATTGTTGGCGAATGGTGCGTTCACCAGCATCCAGAGGCCTCAATTGTTTGTGTGTGTATGTGACTGTGTACGGCGTCGACGAAGTTGGTCTGGTGGACTACTACCTCGTGGCAAGATAGATGCCCTGCCGTTAAGTTTGCCACGTTGCTGTAGCCTCGCCAAGCGTCAGTCACGATAGTCGTTCCCGGCAGGACGTGATCTGTTATGATCTCTCCAATGTCGCCGCATCTCGTGTTTCGCACAAGCTCCAGTAACAACGGCCAGTCTGACGCTCTACTAGCCCTACGACCCAACGACCGTGAGT